ATCTGCCTATCCCACGTCCTTGGGAAGGACTCAATAGGTGGACAAAAATCCCAAATCCAGTCTAAACATCTGGCTGACTATGTGACCAGCAATAGTAATGATAATAATACAGTACATGTATATGCTACCTGATGCCCAGCAACTCCGGGTAGTTTACAGATTTAAAAACTTTTATTAGATTTCATTAAGTAACAAATGACTAATCAAGAAGGACAATGATCCATTACTCCTGGTTACAAGCCCTATTGACCTCACTGGGACTTATGATGGTTATGTATAGGACTGCAGAACAACATTTCTTTAAAATCTTAAAGCAATTTAGGATTGGGGCAGCATGGCTGTAAAGCAGTCTGCTTCCTGGCCATGTTGAACAACACTTTGATAAAAGTGGTTTTGCTTCCTGCCTATTGATTTTGAAGTCAAGATTTTCCAAGTAGGTAAGATGCCATGAAATGTGGGTGGAGCTGTGGCATTTGAACTGATGGCTCACAGGTTTTGGAAGTCTGCTAGAAAGTTGTATTGAAAAAGAGCATCAGTTGTTGGTAGCCTCCTTCAAAAACATTACAGGTAGTCCTTACTTACTGGCCACTGGTTCAGTGACCGTTCAAAGTTACAATGGCACTGAAAAAGGAGACTTACGACTGGTCCTTGAAGTTGTGGCCCTGCGATCACATGATCGCAGTTTGGGCTCTTGGCAACCAGTGTGCATTATGACAGTCTCAGTGTCCCATGGTCACGTGACCACCATTTGTGACCTTCACAGCTGGCTTCCAAGAAGCAAAGTCAATGGGAAAATCAGCAGGAAGTTGCAAGTTGCGATCACATGATGTCATGCTTAATGACTGTGAGTGATTTGCTTCATGATTGCAGCTGGAACTGACAAACTGACATTGTAAGTCAGGTATGGTCATGTCACATTTCACTTTATGACACAGTTGTTGGTCCCAATTGCAAACAGTAAATGAGGACTATATTTTTAATAATTCCATTACTGCTGTACTTTAATGCCTCCTTAATGTCTAGAATGGGTACATTGTCTTATAGCTTACTGCTTTTTGCTGTTTCCAGAGACATCTTCATGTTAGTCTGTTGCTAAAAAATTGTACTGAACACATTTGTTATAGCCTAAACTTTTGTGAGTTTATCATAGGGTGGGCAACTCACAGCCCACTTTCAGAAGCTTAAGGACCCATTGTAGCCCTTAAAAAGACAAAGCCTACCCTGATGAAACGGTTTTCCTGTTTGGGGGGGGGGGTTACGACCAAAATTGATGTTTTAATCTGCAAAATTTAAGGCAGAGGATTTTGCCTTAACTTCCCCATCCCCACCCAATAGTCAGAAAACAAACAAACAAACAAAAAAGTTAGAACTCATTCTTACATATTCTCGTGAACTTGTGTCATTTTTAGATGGGGTGGACTGCAGTCCATGAAAATATAGATGGCATAAAAATGATTTGACTGTCCATGAAAATATAGATGGCATAAAAATGATTGACCAAGAGACCCGTTAGTAGTTTTCCACCACTGGAAGAATGTGCTTGTCCCTGGCACAGTTTTGCAAAAAGGCTGTCAGATTCTCTTCATAGTATTATTATATGGCATAGTAATTGTGATGTGATCAGCAAGAATTCTCTTTTAATCATACACTTGACACTTTCTAGATATTCCAGTGTTTGCTCATTGAAGGAGAAAATACAGGGAAAGAAGCTCTGAGAGAAGCTGAAAGATTTATCATCAGTGATGAAGATTTTGAACGATTCCTGCATCGTCATAAAGACGTCTCATGCTTAGTCCCCGAATCTAATCAAAAAGTAAAGTAACAATGCTGATTGTTGATATATTTTGAAAGCAATATATTTAATGCTGGGATTTGAAGTCCTAATGCTGACTGCAAACAGGGAAATGCAGCCACCCAGGTTCCTTTGTCATTTGCTACAGTATAAGAAAGCTTTTATGGGTGTTTGTTGGAATGCTTGCAGTTTATGCCCCTCAGCATTCTGGCTCTGTGTGGTTGGAGCCTAGAGGCCCGGTGTTGGGCCATGGGGCATTGCTGCACGTCTCTTCTTCATACTGTTGCAAGCAGTTGCATCAGAAATTAACAGCAATGTCTTAATCATTTCTTAAGCACTGGGCCACTAAAAATAGTTAGAAATATAAAACTACATTAATACTGTATTATGATACAGTACCGTAATAATACTGCAAGACATTGCAGAACTATTGATGGTGAATACTCTGAACAGGGGCATAAAAATGAAACAGAACTTAATATTCCTAGAATCTCAATTTATCTTATTTTAGACTATCATTAAAGGAATGAAAATAACTCTTTTCCCATCCTTTAATTTTTTCCCCATTTGGATTATAATATTTGTCCTCTTATACTTCAGTAAATTAAATGAAGTGCATTTTTATATACATATCCGAACAGTCCCATACATAAACAGTACTGGAAAGCATGTGAACTGTTGTTAAAACTGAGCTTTATGCTGTACCTCAGTGACTTTTTTTTTTTTTTTGCTGCTGCTGCAGTTTAATATACGTATCTCATGCAATACAGTCTGTCCTACATTTATTCAAAAGTTATGCCATACTGTTTGTATGTATGTACAGGTAGTCTTCACTTGACAACCATTTGTTTAGCGACCATTCAGAGTTACAAAGGTGCTGAACAAAGGGTATTGTGGGGAAGGCCAATAATTGGATTATCAAAGCCTTTCT